GCCACTGCTTGGGCGTGTTCTTTCAGCTGGAGAGCGGGCGTATCCCGTGAGTCCGCGGGCGCATCCCGTGAGCCCGCGGGCATTCGAGGACTACGACTCCCGGCATGCTTCGAGGCAGCTGGAGTTAACCCTTCGGTACCCGCAGCCTCCCAGTGCCCCGCCTCCGTCCTTACCTGGATCCCGCAGGGTGAGTTTTTGGGAGCTGGGGAGGGACTCTTTCCTTTTATTGAAGCTTTATTGAAGGTGTGCGTGCGTGTGTGTGTGTGTGTGTGTGTGTGTGTGTGTGAGAGAGAGAGAGAGAGAGAGAGTGAGAGAGAGAGAGAGAGAGAGAGAGAGAGATGTATTCTGGAAGGGTGAATGATTCTGATTTTTCTAAAATGGGACAATGTTCAGTAATGAGATTCAGACGCATTTTTGCAAGTGGAAGACTGGATGCCAGCTCTCTGAACCCCAGGATCTAAGTGGAATCACTACTGTCCTCCTGGGAATGCTGCCTAAATCTTTTTCTATTACCCCTAGAACAAAAAATAGCCAGCAACGCCTCCTCTATACCTATGGCCTCCGACTTAGACCCTACCCTGGTGCCCCCAGCTAGGTTTGGAAGCTGGCCCCAGAGTCAGGGTTTTTATTGTCCCTTTGGTTGGGAGGTGAGTACCTGTGGAGCCCGAAGGACCTTCCACATCTTTCAGATTAGAGATTCTAGAATTTAGGCCCTTTGCGTCTCAGGGCCTGCCCTTCCCTTCAGGTGCACCACAGAGTGTCTGTAGGTTCAGCAGGCATCCTGCCTTTGTTTGACTTGCATAACCATGGGCTTGTGGAAAAGAGTTCCTTCCCAGGAACTATGGGTGGTGGGTGTTAAACACGATCCTTGCCCCCACCCTCATCCTTAAGTCAATCCTAGGAACAGGAGACAATCCTCTTTCTGTTACTATTCCTTATCTATATTGTGCACAATTCCAGTTCTGGGCTGGGAGGGAGAGGGACAGGACTGTAAGTATTGAGGATTAATAGAATTAATAGACTGTGGGGTCAACTACCCCTGCTCCTCATTTGTGGTAAGAGGGGCCTTTTTTTCACCTTTCACTGCTCCCAGAACCCACTTTTTTTTTTTTAAAGATTTTATTTTTAAGTAGTCACTACACGCAACGTGGGACTCGAACTCACAACCCCCAGATCAAGAGTCACATGTTCTACAGACTGAACCAGTCAGGTGCCCCTCCCGCACCTCACTTTAACAATTCCAGTTCAGGGGAGCCTGAGTGGCTCAAATGGTTAAGCGTCCTACTTCGGCTCAGGTCATGATTTCACGGTTCATGGGTTCGAGTCCCGCATCGGGCTGTTTGCTGACAGCTAGCTCAGAGCCTGGAGCCTGCTTCAGATTCTGTATCTCCCTCTCTCTCTGACCCTCCCCTGCTCACGCTGTCTCTCTCTCTCTCTCTCAGAAATAAATAAAACATGAAAAAAAATTTTTTTAATTAAAAAAACCCCCCACAATTCCAATTCATAAAACCTCCCTCCCTCCAGGTCATAAGACGTCAGCCTTTAAGAATCTAAAGCCGCTAGAAAAAAGGGCTACTCTGTGCCAGGGGGTTGAGGCCTGGAATGCCTGGATCCCCTTTTTTGCTTCACCCCTATGTCAGGGTCTGTCACTGGCAAGCATCCTATCCTTACTCCGGAGGTTAACTCCCACATTCTGGGCAGTTTCTGGCTTCCTTCCCCTGCCCCCAAAGGGGCCATTGTTCTGGCCACCATTTGGGGCTGAGTGAACAGAAGAGAGATAGACCTTGGGGCAGGAGTCCTGAACCATAGGAGTCCAGGACAGGCCAGCATATCTCTCCTCTATCTCACCCTCCCCACCGCCAACTGGCTCCCTGCCCCTGCCCCCGCCCCTTGACATCCCAGACTCCCTGGCTATTTAAACAGAGATGGGTGCCCCCATCGGCACACTGTCCTTTGCCTACCGGACATCATGCCTCCCAAGAAGGATGTTCCTATGAAGAAACCAGCAGGACCCTCTATTTCCAAGCCTGCTGCCAAACCAGCAGCAGGGCCCCCTCCAGCCAAGACCAAGGCTGAGCCAGCACCAGCTGTCCCTCCAGCCGTCCCTCCAGCCGTCCCTCCAGCCCCTGAGAAAACCCAGGAGCCCCCCATCGATCTCTCCAAAGTGGTGGTGAGTCCCAGGAAAAGTGAGGAAAGAATTCGGAAGGGGTGGTACAGGGTGGGAGACAGCCTAGGGGAGAGGGGTATCTGGAAGATAGGGAGTCAGCAAGCATTGGAATGATATTGGAGATTTCTCTTTGTCTCCCATTTGGAAGCATCCAGGCTTATGACTACGATGTTATCTTTGTTGTTCTCCCCCTCTAAACTGTAATGTGTGTGGGTATGTATACACAAACACACACTCACTCTCTCATGGACCCCCCTTGCTTGAGGCAGGGACTGTGAGATAGGGAACATCTGGGTTCTGAGGACAATTTCAAGGTGAAGGGAGGGAGTTGCTGCCTGTGCCTGGCTGACTGTTCAATTCTAAAAGCCACAGCTCTGAACCCCAGGAGGGAAGGCTGAAAAGGACAGACTTGTTAGACAATCACAGCTGGGGGCCAGGGGTAAATTTAGCCTTTGTTCAGCCCCCAGTTATGTGAGGGATGCAGGGCTCAGGGCACTGGAGGGAGGGGAACAGGTGGCATGGGATTAACCCTGTTCCCAGGAAACCCTCCCCCCTATAATTCCTTCTCTTGGGATTCTCCCAAGGTCCAGAGCTGGGAATGGGACTGAGGTGGCTGGGCTCCCAGCCTGGTCTTTTTGGGCCCCTCCCCAGAAGTGGCTGCCAGTTTGTTGGGAGGAGTGCTGGAGGCAGATTGAATGAGCCCTGTCATCCCTCCTCACCTGTTCTTTTCTTCCACAGATCGAGTTTAACAAGGACCAGCTGGAGGGTGAGGAGAAGCTGGTCCCTTAAGCCCTACTGTCTAGTCCCAAGCTCCTGGTCATATCCTTTTTCTGTTCCCTTAACTCCAGTCCCAACCTTGAAACCTTCCATGCTAGTCGTCTTTGTGTCTCCTATTCTGCCCAGCTTTCGCACATAGTTTCTGAATCTACTTTCTGTCGGGGGGGGCGGGGTGCGGGGAGTGATGGGAACCCCTGGTCAACACTGACCACCCCTTATGCTTCAGAGTTCAAGGAGGCCTTCGAGCTGTTTGATCGAGTAGGGGATGGCAAGATCCTGTATGGCCAGTGTGGGGACGTGATGAGGGCCCTGGGCCAGAACCCCACCAACGCCGAGGTGCTCAGGGTCCTGGGGAATCCCAAGAGTGATGGTGAGAGGGATGCTTGGAAGAGTGCGGTTTTCAATGTGGTGGTGGAACTGAGGAATGTTGGCAAGGTCACAAGGGATGCTGGGGTGGGTCTCTGGACTTGAAAAACTGTCAAACATAAGATGGAAAAACATCCTGAATATCGAACAGGATGAAAGCCTTCGTGGTAGGATTGGGAGCTGGTTCCAAGGTGACTCTACAGTGACCTCTCTTTCCCCTTTCTAATTTCCAGAGCTGAAGTCCCGGCGTGTGGACTTCGAGACTTTCCTGCCCATGCTCCAGGCAGTAGCCAAAAACCGGGACCAAGGCACATATCAGGACTACCTGGAGGGCCTTCGGGTGTTTGACAAAGAGGGGAACGGCAAAGTCATGGGAGCAGAGCTCAGACATGTCCTCACTACCCTGGGTGAGGCAAGGACCAGAACTCCTATGGGTTGGAGAGAAGGGGGTAGACCAAGAAGATTAGCCAAGTAGGCAGAGCCAAGGAACAATAATGGTCCTGTAGGTTGTGGGTAGGAGAGTGGGAATCTAAAGGGCTTCTTCCTGCAGAAGGTAGAGTGAAAGTAGATGCGGATGCCTCCCAAAGGACAGAGAAAGGGGATGAGCTAATATTCTGTTGTGGGAGAGATGCTTATGCTCTGTGATCTGGTAGCCCTTTAACCCTCTGGAATTCAGTTTCCCTCTGTCAGAGCTTTAGACAGGTGCTAATGCAGGTGAAATGGAAAGCAAGGTGGAGTAACACATTCAAGGTGTTACCATTACAAGGAGAGGATTCCTTTGGGGTTCTGTTGCTATGAACAAGTCTTCAAGGGTGGGAGAAGAAAAAGCACCATCCAGAAGAGTGGCCTGGTTTGGGAGGGAGGGAGGGAGGGCAGTGTCTGGGGCTAAAATGCTGTGTCTGGGGCTCAGGAGAGAGGATGACTGAAGAGGAGGTGGAGACTGTTCTGGCAGGACATGAGGACAGCAATGGCTGCATCAACTACGAAGGTGAGGGTCCAGGGGCGCAGAAGGGACAGGGGAGAGGAGGCAGAAGTCTCGCGGTATGTGGTGGGGGCACCAAGAGCCTGGATTATCTAAAATCAGATGGATTATCAAGGGCCTGCTTCTGAACCCCTCTCGCCTCCTCTCTGCAGCCTTCCTGAAGCACATCCTAAGCGTCTGAGCTCTACAGGTAGGGCCCTTCCACTCTGACTGGAGAGGCAAGTTTCCTTTCCTTCCCTCAGTCAGGGTAGAAAAGGAGGGAAGTGCGTTTTCGTGTCCTGGGGCGCGCGACCGACAGGCCTTGGCAACTTTCATTTTTTTCCACAGATGCCGTGGGGCCGGACGCTGCCCGCCCCCCCCTTCCCCGGCAGGCGGAAGCACGTTCCTGCCACTAGGAGGCCACCTATTGTTTCAAAATAAAGAGACGGTTCTTCCCTTGGCGTCTGACTCTTGCTTTCTTCAGATGTGGGGGAGGGAAGGGAGGGCTCTCCTCTCCCCTATCCGATATCCTCTGATATTGCCGCTGCAAGAAGGAGCAGATTCCTTGCGCCCTACTCGATCTACTTCTGCGGGTTCCTCCCCTCAGGTAGGGCTATTCTAGAGAAAGGAGAAGCAGCGGGCCCTGCCCACCTCATTACTAATGTAGCAATATTATCTGCCTACGGCCAGGCCAGGATTCCTATTGGTCGGATCCGCTGAGGGTGACGTCATTGGAACGTACGAAGACTAGGGTTGGGCAGCGAGCCGGAGCCATTACTGCAGGAAAAGGTCCCGCAGAGCAGAGCGGCCAAGATGGTGGGGCCTGGGGCCTGGAAGGATAAGCGGGATTTGGGGCAAGAGGCGGGAAGTCGGGGGTAGGGCTTTGCAGAGGGAACCTGAGGGCCTGGAAGGTCGGAGGTGGGGTTGGAAAGTTTGGGTCCTGTCCTGCCGGGAAAGCGAGTCCCCAGCATGGAACAGAGTTTGTGGTTCAGTTTGTGGGACGGGGGTAGAAGCTTGAGGGGTTGGAGTTGAGATGCTGACCGATCCCCTCTTCTCCGAGCAGTGTGATTTCACCGAGGACCAGACTGCAGGTAGGTAATCTCTGACCCCTACTGAGGTCATGCTTAGGGAGAGGGACCCCCGCCTCTAGCACCTATCCCATAATCCCACCTGTCATCTCTTTAGCACCCCCAGGGAAGTACTTCCTGGATTCCCTTCTCTTTCTGGATCCTCCATTTTCTTTTCTCACTCTTTCTTCCTCCCTCCCCTTTCACTCTAGATCCGAGCCCCAAGCCCCGGGTGAGTTTTAGGTGGTGTGGGTGTGTGAAACAACTTGGTCACCTAATGCCTGCTGTGTGTGGGGTTTGGGGAGGGTGTATTAAGTTGCCTGCGCTCCTCTGTCCCTTAATCAGCTTCTTCCTCTTTTCTCCTCCTGTGATAACTCCCCTCCCCCAGCTTGGATTTGTGAAGACTGTAAAAAGCAGTCACCTGGAATTTTGTGACACTGGGGACAGGGAATTTGCTGAGGATACTTCGTAGCTGTATCCTCCGAAAGAAAGTACCGGAGAGGTGGGAAGTGGCAGGCTGGGATGACCCCGGTCCCAGGCTTCTGCTCCCACTTCCTTATAAGGACAGGACCCAGACAGGGCGGTGGCAAATTCCTGCCCTGAGTAGAGTTGTGAGGAGGCTGGACAGGCTTGCTCCAGGCAGAGGGGGTGTGTAAATGGATGTTACCATTCTGCCAAGGGGGGAAGAAGAAGGCTGTGTCGTTATGTGGGACACTTGATTTGGGAGGCAGGGACGTTAGATCCCTCTTAGTGGACTTCCGTGTACAGTGATATAAATATCTGGTTTCCTCAGCATGATCAATGTTGAATGGGCAGAAGGGGCTGTTAGGGAGGGTCTGGGTTAACCCCCGCATGCCCAGTGCTGATGTGTATCTGAATCTTCAGAGTTCAAGGAAGCTTTCCAGCTGTTTGACCGAACAGGGGATGGCAAGATCCTGTACAGCCAGTGCGGGGACGTAATGAGGGCCCTGGGCCAGAACCCCACCAACGCCGAGGTGCTGAAGGTCCTGGGGAATCCCAAGAGTGATGGTGAGGGTCCTCAAGAACAATTTCTCAGTGTGGTAATGGGCCTACAGTTCTTCAGTTGAGAGCTTCCCTTTATCTTCATAGGCCCAAAACTCAAGCAGGTTTGTCTCCACAAGCAAATCCCACAGATTTCTCCTGCTTTGCATGGGAGCCACCTGCTCACTTGTGACCCCTGTAGTCTCCCCGGTTCTGAGAACCTGTGTGACTTTCCTTACACCTCCTTTATGGCAGAGATGAATGTGAAGGTGCTGGACTTTGAACACTTCCTACCCATGCTGCAGACTGTGGCCAAGAACAAGGACCAGGGCACCTATGAGGACTATGTCGAAGGCCTTCGGGTGTTTGACAAGGAGGGGAATGGGACTGTCATGGGTGCTGAAATCCGGCATGTCCTCGTCACACTGGGTAAGACTCTACCCTTGCTCTTTAAGCTGAGGTGCCGCCTGATAACACACCTGCCACCCAGTTCCCAAAATGTTTTTCTTTCCCTCTGCAGGTGAGAAGATGACAGAGGAAGAAGTAGAGATGCTGGTGGCAGGGCATGAGGATAGCAATGGTTGTATCAACTATGAAGGTGAGGGATGAATTGGGGCTTTAGTGGAGAAAGCAGTTGTATAGGCAGGTCATGCCCAGCATTTGGGGCTTTCTATGTCCCTGGGCTCCAAAGAGAACCAGGAGGCAAGGGGCAGGGCCCAGCCCAGCCCAGGATGGGAGGCCACAGGGGTATGACTGGAAAGGAAGGGGGAATGTGTGAAGGGTGGGGAAGGAATGGGAAGTAAAATAAAGGGAATGTCTGTTCCCCACTGCCTGACCTGTTCACCCCATGTCTGTGTCTTGTCTTCACCATTAATGTCTCTTCCTTCCTGCAGCGTTTGTGAGGCATATCCTGTCGGGGTGACGGGCCCATGGGGCGGGTACGGCTCCTCCCAGCCTCCCCTTCTCTAGTTGCCCTCCCCGATGTTTTTCTTCCCAACCTTTGCTCTCTAGCCCCTGCCCTTCCCCTACTACCATCTGACTTCCTCTTAGCATGTTTCTGCATGGAGCTGACTGGGGAGGGAAGGGATTCCTCAAAGAGGAAGACAGCCTGGGGGTGTGGTACCTCCTTTTCTCCTAAAATGGACTCTGAGGTTTTGCTCATAGGGCCCAAGGTGCTGGTATCTGGGAACTCGCACCAGCCTGTCTCCGTCTTGCTTCAGGGTGATCCTTTGGCCCTGGCGCACAGGTGGTTGGCATAGGGGGGTTGGTTGCCTGCCCCATTGTGCTGCTATAGCTCAACAGTCTTTTTCCTTCTGCTGGGCAGCTTGGAGGTACCCTAACCCAAACTTCTGTCTTCTCCTGCCAATGGCTGACAGTAGCTGTAGGTGTAGCCGAGAACTTTTCTGCCTCTGCTGTGTTCCTGCTGCTCGGGGGTGGGGAGGCTAACAGCTGGTGGGAGGGGAGCTGGGGGCTGAGAGAACTGGGCAGACTCAAGGTGGCTCCTCTACAAACCCAGCGTTGGGTTCTGTGGGCACGTTCTTCTGCTACCTTTGTGGTCTTGTGGTCTCCTTGCCCCTGGTGGACCCCTCCCCTTGCCCTACTCCCTGGCTCACCCCTCTCTTCTATCCACAGAGCTCGTCCGCATGGTGCTGAATGGCTGAGGACGTTGCTGGTGTGCCCAAGCCCTGTGCCTTCCCTGTGTGAGACTGTGCATGTAGCCCTAAAGGCCTCCTAAGTCCTCCTGTCACAACCACTTTTGCCAGCTTTTCTCCCCTGGATGTTATTTGCTGTCAGCCATCACCAAATAAACTTTCTCTGTGCCCTAAGTCCGGTTCTGCTTTCCTTACTAAGCAGGGTGGAGGGGAGGAGAGACAATCCAGGGTCAATAGATCAGGGGTTGGGAAAGCTGGGAAAGGGCTCGAAGGATCCATCTTTGTGTCATTTAAGAAATGCTGGCCCCATTCATTGATGCTACAGAGGCCACCCCTCGGGGGATTAAATCCATTAATCCCTATAGGACCAAGGCTGGCCATCCTCGTTCTATTCTATTTGTCTGAGTCCTCTCCTAGCCCTCCAGCTGGCTAAATCCAGCCTTTACCCTCCCAAGCATTGAAGTCCTTTTGTGGAAAAAGCCCAGGGAGTGTCTGCATGGAGCTAAAGCCAGGCCATATTAGCACAGCCTGAGCCTGTCTGTCACCTTGGCAGGGCTAGGAGCCAATAATAACAAGTCTGTGAGATGCCTGCCTTCTTCCCGCCTAATAAGGGAAGGAATGGAGCCATTACTTCTAAAAGGATAAGGATATAAAACCTCCAGGTTGTGAGGATGTCCTTCCAAGTCTCTAACAGCTATTTTTAGGGCAGGTGAGAGCCTCTGCCCAGCCCCCGTACCAGTGCAGTCCTGACCCCTGTGCTGCCTTTAGCTTGTGGAAACAGGCCCAGTTATCTGTGTGCCTGCGGCTTGCTCGGTGCTTCTCCAGCCCAGGCGCAAGCCCTTGGGAAGGACTCCGGGAAGGCTGCCCCCAGCCCGATCCCCCTGCCTGACAGCCACAGGTAAGAGAACACAGAAGGCATTCACAAGATGGAACTGAAAGCAAATTAATTTATAAAAAAAAAAAAAAAAAAAAAGAAGAAAAAAAAGAAAAAAAAAGAAAAGAAAAGAAAAGAAATTTACAGAAAACTTTTGAACAGAAGAAAGGTGCGAAGACGCAGAGGAAGAGAAACATGGGGACGTGAGGAACAAAGCCTGGTGGGAGGGACTGGGAGGAACTGGTGGAGAGCCTGGAGTCCCGTCTGCCTTCACATCACGGATGTGGAAGGGAGAGATGGTAGGGGAGGCAGTGGACCCCAGGGAGCCGAGCTGCACACTGGGAGTAGGCACTACCCTAGGTCGGGCACCCCTCCACTGTCCCCAAATCCCAGGGAACACTTAGCTACCAGTCAAGGTTCTGGTGGTCTGGGGGGAAGAGGGAAGAGGTTAGAGGGGTGACCCACCAAGTCATAAGAAGGAGGTGCTGAAGTGCTTTTTGAAAAATTCAGGTTAATAATTCTCCATCCTCTCTAGCTCCCCTCTCCATGTCTTCTAGGAGCCCAGTGACAGGGCCCAGGGAGGAGGAAGAACAGTACCCTTTCTTCCTCTATTACCTACCACAGGAATCCCCAAAATATGTTTCCCCACCAAATACACACGCTGACATCAACTACGCAGGTGACTTTTAAAAACACAAAACTGACATTCAGAGGAAAGGGGTCATTGGCTGAGCTGGGGTGGCCTAGAACAGCAACACTGAGGAAGCAGCAGGAGAGATTAGTAGGAATAAACTGGGGATGGGGCAGCTGAGGGGGTGGGGAGTTGATTCGGTCACTAACGAGGTGGGGGCTGGAAGAGACAGATTCGGCACCCTATTCTATCCCCAGAGCTCTCCCAGAACCTTAAATCCCCTTTCCTGTCACCTCCCTCCTCCAAACAATGTAAAAGTTGGGTGGGGTTTTTTTGTTTGTTTGATTTTGTTTTTAGTGGGTGGAGGGAGCTCCAATGTGGCTTTTTTTTTCTCTCTACTTCCTTTAAAGGGCTTAGTTTTGTGTTGTTGTTTTTTTTATCCATAAAAAATGCAGTAGTTTTGAGGGAGCGCACCCTTAGAAGTGGTTAATTAGAACCTTGTATAAACACTTTTCCCCAGCCCTTTCTTCGAGGGCAGCATCCCCATCTTATCCTCTCTCCCGGACATTAGAAACATCTTTTAAACAGAAGTCCTTGAATAATCCGATATAAAAATGCATGCCTCTGACAGGCACGGTGGGGGCTTTGGAGGGGCAGGAGGAGCTTTCCTTACGTAGTGATGAACTCTCCAGGCTGGGGAAGGGTCCCAGTGGTGGGGAGAGGGCTGTTCCTGGAACCTTGATCTCCATAGGGGGTGAGGGAGAGAGATGTCTGGCTGGCTCCTCACTGTGGAGGTGGCACAGGGGTGACTGTGCCTGGGCTCGGGGCCGTGGGGTCTGGAGGCAGGGGGGTGCCTGGGTCTGTGGAGAAAAGGAAGATGAATCAGCTAGGGTGAGCAGGAGAGGGATCCAGACCCAGGCCACCACAGACAAACAGAACCGGGCATGGCATGCAATGGGTGGGTAGGTGACTGAGGTACCCACAATGTACAACTTCCTTTCCCAACACCCTCTCCCACCTCATACTGGGAAAACTGAAACACCCCAAATCTTCCCGCCCCTAAGGAACTCTCTAAATGGGCCATTTGAACGTGATGGGAACAAGCAAACGGGATGCCAATCATCATGCAAACAGGGAGCTGTTTTTCAAGTTTACAACTGAGATGCTGTGCCTTAGGACTCCTCCGTGACCCACCAGTGAAAGGCCCCAACGTCATCCCAGAGGTGGCAGCTGCCAGGGTGGGGAATGGTGGAGGACAGCCAGAGAGGCCCTTTCCCCTGTATTCTAATTTACCAGAGCGTTCAAAAAGGATTGTGGAGTTCTCGTGCCTAAGCCCTTCCCCCTACCTGCCCCCCCATCCCTCCATGTAACCCCTCTCCCTCACCCTTCTCCCCTCCAGGACCCTTCTCACCTGGCAGTGGGCTGGCACTGGGCAGGAGGTTGCCCTGAACAGCTGCCACAATGGCAGGGCTCTGGGCTGCGGCGGATCCGAGCCCCGGCCCGAGAGGCAAGGAAGATGGCATGGTGGTGGTCGCCGGCAGGTTAGGATGTAGAGGGTTCGCCATGGACACAGGCAGGTTAGGTGGGGGGAGAGTGCCCGGGGCAAACGGGAGATGGTGGTGATGCCCATGCAGGTTAGGAGGAGGGGGCAGGTTAATACTGATGGAGTCAGCTAGACTACCAAATGGGATGATGGATGGAGCGGGAGGAGGAGGAGGAGGCGGCATGCCAAAAGGCAAACCCAAAGGAGCATTACCCGCCACGCCTGGGTGCCCGCTGCCTGGCACTGCCCCTGGCATCATTGAGGGAGGAGTTTGTTGGTTGGGAAACGGTGAGGGGCCTGGAAACACAGAGGAGAGATCAAGAAGGTTAGAGGCATAGAATCTCCCTTACCAACTCACTGTCCCAGCGAGGATAACCCAGCCACTCCTCAGCACCACTTGTCCTGCTACGAGAATAAGTGATAAATCCCTGGAACAAAATCTCAGAACTCTGGGTCCAGGGCAGGATTCCTGTTGGCTCAAGTATATAACAGAGGTGAGGGAGCCCATCTGTGGGAATCTCCCGCCCGGTCACAGATCCCTTTGGAAGGGGAACTGGAGCCCTCTAGTCAGCAAGGGTTCCAGAACCCAGCACTTACCATGGGGTCCAGGGGGGGGTACCCCTGGCGGAACCGCCCCAGGCTGGGGGGCTCCGGCTGGCTGCTGCTGCGGCGGCCCTGCCGTTGACCCTGCCGGCCCAATCTGTTCAGAGGGGCCCATGCTTCCGGGAGGGGCCCCACTGCCAGCAGGAGCAGGGGCCACAGAGGCCGGAGCCATGGCCAAGCTGTGAACTGCGGGTGGCCCAGCAGTGCCCGTGGGTGGGATAGGCTGGGAGCCTGGGGGCAGGGCCGGTGGTGGCTGCTGCTGCTGTTGGTGCATTTGTTGGAAGTGCTGCTGCCGGGCCCTCATCTCTGCATACTTCAGCTGCTCCATGTGGAAGGCTTGTCTGTCCGCCAGGAGCTGCTGCCTCTGATACTCCAGCTGCCAGTGCCAATTGAGTACCGTTACCCAGGTTCACAAGATCACAAAAGCAAACACCTTGCCCCCTGCTTTGTCTTCTGACAAATCCAGCCTCTCATTCCGGCAGTTCCCCACATCAAATGTCAATCTTGAGCTTGGGCTTGCCCTACCCTCCCGTCTTCCCCGCCAGAATTCCCACGACCGTGTCTTCTGGCTGTCCATATGGCTTCTCAGTGCATGGGGACCCTTACTCATTTCAGCTCCGAAGCTTTGAATCTGACATTAGATTCATTTCGAAAACACTTCCAGTTTTTTTTTGTCAACTTGTATTTTCTTCCCTCAAAATTGGCTAAACACTCACCATTTTTAGGAATTCACCCCAGATCAACTCATTAGCCTCTGAGCTTTGCCTTTATTTTGTTATCTCTCAGGACTTATATAATACTTGATTTGAAATCTTTTAACCTGAATTTGTCAGATACTTTAAACATTCACTGTTTTTGATGCCTCTGTATTGAATATTGGATATATCCAATTAAATTGCAGGTTTTCTGAGGTTAGGATCCCTAACTATTTTCTGTTTCTTTTTATATGGTCTCAAAACAAAACAGTTTTGGGTGCCTGACTAGCACAGTTGGTTAAGCGTCTGACTCTTGATCTCAGCTCAGGTCATGACCTCACGGATTGTGACTCTGAACCCCACATCAGGCTCTGTAGATTGTCTCTCCTTCTCTCTGCCCTTCCCCTGCCTGTGCTCTCTCTCTCTCTCTCTCAAAATAAATAAAATTTTTAAAAAATAGTTCAATACATTGTCCATCCCACCCCCCTTCCAAGTTCACCTCCTGGATCTGAAGCCCCCTCCCTCTCAGCATCCCTTAAACCTGTTCACTCACTCAACAGATATTTACGGAGTCTACAATGGGTAAAACAATGGTCAAGGACCTGGAAATGAGACAATAAAAAAAAGACTAGATGGTTCAGCGTCCGACTCTTGATTTTGGCTCACATCATGAGCCCTGCAATGGGCTGCGAGCTGGGCATGGAGCCTGCTTAAGATTCTCTCTCCCTCTCCCTCTGTCCCTTCCCTGCTTGTATGTGCACATACTCTCTCTCTGTTTCTTACTCCCAATAAATAAATAACTAAATTATAACAACAACAAAAAAAACC